ACCCCCTCGCGCGCGAGCGCGCACCTCCACCTCACAGGTTTTCAGGGGTCCCCGAAGAGGCGTCGCCCGCTAGCCATGAAGGCGCGCCTCCATCGTGAGAGCCTCTGCTGGGTCCAAACCTTCCATAGCCTGAGCAGGGTGACTGCCATGCCAATGAGCAGCTGTTCTCCAAAGCCGGGGAGCCGTTTCCGAAACTGACATTGCAAACAGTTGACTCAAGGTGGGAGCGTCTGTTGGCGCACTGTCTGATACTCAACTTTGGGACCCGGCAATAGGCGATCCGAGCACATCTGTCTCCACAGCCATGGGAGTCAAAGCATCCGGATTCATTCCCTGAGCTCGGTCGAAATTGCAGAAGCTCTGAACACCCGTGAAACTTCCTTCCTGCTCCATCTCTCTTGCCAAGGTGGGCCAGTTGGATCAATCGATACTGGGCGTACAGCACGAGCCGGCAGGAGGTTCAATTACAGAGTGTCGTGCAGTTCCAAACGTGACACGGCCAGAGAACCTTGGGCCCGGGCCGTCCATCCAGTCTTGCCAGCCCCATTCCAAGCCGCTGGGCCCAACCTGGATGAGTCGTCGAGAATACAGAAAGACATCAACAACGCTGGGGGCGTATACTGCTGAACATCGAAGCTAAGAAAGCGTTGGCAGCCACAACTACGCGTCCATTGTATCGTGAGCATCATATCGGAGCGATTGGAAACTCGGCGATTTTATGCTATACTGACCGCAGAGATGCCAAAGGCATGTTGCAAAGCGTAATTCGACTGAATTCGAACAAATGCACACAACCACATATAGTTATACACGCTCTCTGCAACCCTAACTATTGGGTGTAGGTTTGGAATATGAAACATTTTCCTCACCCGCCCAGCTGACAATGTGACGATGTCACACCGCAGGGAAGTGACTGCAATCTGTTGATTGGCTCATGCTTGAACGATGAATAAACAGATATCTAGATATCTAAGTATGTAGAAACGTAGATATATACAAGCCAACATTTACAGTGTGTATGGGTACACACACCCATGTACGCATGTCTGCCTGTCTGTCCGTATATGCATATGTAGATGTACAAGTATGTGATGTTTACACGCATATCCACTTGTACATGTGCATATGTGTCCCAACAAAAGTATTTCACACACACACATAGTGTGTGTGTGTGCTTAGGTACGGGCATGTAAGCATGTCACGTTTTTGTATGTATATGTACATATGTATTTGCATGCGTATGTACACACGTACATGTGTGTGACAGCATATGCCATATGTCAGACTGCACGACTGTATGAACAGAAATACTTTTGCATGTTTATGTAAGATTGCGTGTGCAATCGAGTGTGATGCATGTCTGTATGTGTGTATGTGT